AAACCTTCAGCATATAGACAACTGATCTTTGACAAAGGCCCCAAAAGCATTAAGTGCGAGATGGATGCCCTCTGTAACAAGTGGTGCTAGAAACAAGGGATATCCACCTGTAGAAAAAAGGAACAAGACCCCTTTCCTCACCCAATGCACAAAAACAAACTCAAGGTGGATCACAGACCCAGAAGTAAAATCTAAAACTATCAGGACCATCAACAAAGAAATTGAGACAAACCTAAGAACCTTGGCGCAAGGAGTACTTAGGCTAAATGTTAATAGGGAAGGGTACCCACACAGATGAAGCTGAAATCGACAAATTGGATATACTAACGGTAAAACACCTGTGTGCACATAAAGACTTCGAGTAACAAAATAATCCACAGAATGGGAATGATTTTTAGCAGTGACATACCAAAGGGCTTATCACTAAAATCTACAATACCCTCCTAGCCTGCAAAAAGAAGAAAAGTTAAGCCCCTGAAGAACTGGGCAAAAGACCTGAACAGAAGTTTCATTAGGGAGGAGACCCGAATGGGCCATAAACACAAGAAAATTCTCCCGATCATTAGCAATCAGAGAAATACCAATTAAAACAACTATGAGATACCATATAACATCCTTGAGGTTAATGCAAATCAGAACATCAGAGAGCAACAAATATTGGAGGGGATGTGGTGAGATAGGAACTCTCCACTGCTGGTGGTCTGTGGGGAACCAGAAGGATTTCTCGTCTCCCCAATAATATGTACCAGACTTAGCTGCTTGACTATGACTGTACACTAGGCGGTCAGCGAAAGTAGGTCAGATGTTATTTTCTTAACATAAGCCATCTAGAGCAACCAGACTGAATAGTCTGACTCACCCTAAGTAGGGCTCAGTCCCTTCTGACATTGTTCCCTTGAAGGAGTGCCTGAAGGCAAGCCCAGCACCACTCTAAGATGACTAGATTATCCCCTCCTATTGCTTGTATTGCCTATGTTGCAACCCCTCCCTATGACGCAGGTTGTTGTGAATTGTATTGGCCCTCTCTGTGATGCATGATGCTGTGATGTATCCCCCTAAAGTGATGATGCGTGGTTAGCAATAAACAAGGAGGCTCCCTGGTTCTCGGGAGGAAGGTGGACGAGAGGGCTGCTCCCGTGAAGGTGGCTGAGGACGAGGCAGCTGCTTCTACTCTGACGGCTAAGTTCTCTCCACGAGGACCATCAAGTGGGGCTGAGGTGAGCAATGCTACCATGAATTGCGTCTGACTCCATTACTTGACTCCCATCTTTTAACTCTCATGCTCTTTATGACTTTACTATAATCTTTACTTGTTATCGCTGTACAATTGCGCCTACCGAACTTGTGTTTTGTGGGGTTCCCTCTTCCCATTAACCCCACAGTGGTCATGTAGATACGTACAGCCACTGTGGAAAACCATCTGGCTTTATTTAAAGTGAATGGAAATTAAGTTACCTTATGACCCTGTAATTCCTCTACTGGGCATATACCCAGAAGAGGTTAAGAAATAGACCAAGACCAGTCGTCTGTGATCCATTATTTTTTGCTGTGCAATTCACAATTGCAAAGAATTGGAAACAACCTAAATTTCCACTAATGAGTAGATTAGAAAATGCTGGCACATACACACAAGAGTACCACTTACCACTAAAAAACACTGATTGCAGGAAGTGCATTGGCTCATGGGAAGAGTTAGTAAAATTGCTAAGCCAAGTTAGCCAAAAAGGGTAAGTACAACATGAGTCCACTGAGGTTAAGTGTAATCAGGACAGTAAGTATAGAAAAAAATTCAATTACCTCACACTATAAAGGTTGTGGTACAGGCAGTGAAGTGAGGCACAGGCCAAACCCAAAGATGTACCTGTCATTCCAACACAAAGAAGGGGAAATGAGGGTAGGGAGGAAGGGGGGCTGGGGAAAGAGGGGCATGATGGCATAGGGGAGCAAGGCATTAACCCACCTAGGAGGAAGGTATTGTTCGTGTCTCCACAGACGAGGTGTGCATGCAGACACCACCAAAGCGCACCAAACCTTGAGGGCTAAGTAACCACATGGAGCAAGTCATGAACAGAGTGGGCTACAGGGCCAGCCCAAATCATAGCCAATCTGACCCCCTCCCTAGTTATGTGCTACAGATGATGGCAGTAAACCTGCAGGTTGGGGCGAGGGGCCAGCCTGCAAAGTCCACACCGTAGCATATCAAGAAGATAAGGGCGAGTGTGAGTATAGACCCCATATCAGCACTCAAAAGCCCTGAAGATGACACTCTTGCAGAGCTGCTAAGGCAGAGAAGACTGTATGGCCGACAACAGCTTCAGACATGATAGCCCCATGCGGGAGCATACTGCTGACAAAGGGCAATACTGGGGACACAAGGCAGGAGTGAGTCAGTCTGAACCCTAACAGTGGTGCGAACCAAGAAGGGAATATAACAGATCAGGCAATGGGAGCAAAGCCAAGCCCAAAATAAACTTCAGGCTAGGAGGGGCAGTTCCTGGAACCCCTAAGGACCAGTGGGGTGATAGTCATAAAGAACAGCAGACAGACCTGGAACAATATAGTATGGTTTTTCGGTTTGTTTTTTAGCTAGTTTTTATTTTTCCCCGTTTTATTCAACCTTTTGTCTCCGTTATTGTTAGTTTGCCCGTAAGATAGGTATGGGAAGCAAGCCCAAGGAGAAAGCAACTGGACAAATGTTTTCAGAAGGACTTGGGGCGGGGGAGGCGCAATGAGCATATAATGTCACAGACAAGGGAACTAGGGCATTAAAAGCAACAACAAAGAGGGCACAGAGATCCTGGGGGTGTTGGAACAACAGCAAGCTAGCTGAGCGGAATTACTAAGAGGCAGAAGGGAAAGCATGAAGGTGGGGCAGGAGGGAGCTAAAAGGAAATAAGAGAAAAGATCTAGGAAGCAAAGCTATGGGTAGAGGTATAAACACAGGTGTGTACATATGTAAATATATTAATCTATAAAAATAGAGGTAGTGGCCTAGGTACATATATTTATATGGCAATACATTGAGGTAATAAACTGACTTCAGGTCACTGCTCAAGCCCTCCCTCAACACAATAACACTTTGTTCTAACAACCTGGCTTTCTGTGATGCTCACTCCATCCAGCACAATCACTGAAGACAAAATGGGTGCACAAGTAAATGTGAAGAAAGCTGATGGTGCCCAGCTATCAAAAGATACAGTGTCTGGGGTCTTAATGATGTGAAGTAAAACAAATAGTCATCAAGCAGAGAATCAACAAGCCCAATGGAAGCAGCACACCAGCCTGTGCGATCATGAGGTGTTGACGGGATCAGCTAACAGGCATTAGAAGGCTCAAAACAAACCAAAAAACAAAAAATCATATTGTTGACGAGGGGCTGGAGCAGAGACCAAAAGCCCATCTGTAGACAACAGGATATCCCCTCATAGAAGGGTCACAAGGAAGAGATGAGTCAACCACAGCACAGTACAGCTCCAATAAAACACAATATTCCTTTGGTTCTTCACCCCCCTCCCAATTATAATGAACCCAGTCCTCCCTTTCACTTTGGGGTAGACTGTAGCATTTACACTGGTACAGATAAAAGCTCACGACACACAGAATCCAGGTCAGATACACCCCTCAGGTACACAAATGGAAGTAACGATACCAGGAGGGTAGAGGGAAGGAACGGGAACCAATTACAATGATCGACACATAACCACATCCCCCTCCCCTAGGGGGAGTAACAATAGAAACCACACGGGGAGACAGTGGTCAGTGTAAGATAGAAAAGTAATAATTTACAATTTATCAAGGGATCACAGGGCGGGAGGGCGGGGGAGGGAAGGAAAAAAAGAGGATCTGATACCAAGGGCTCAAACAGAAATATTTAGAAAATCATTATGGCAACGTATATACAAATATGCTTGATACAATTGATGTATGGATTGTTATAAGAGCCCCCAACAACACCCCCCACAGCTTACTGGTAAATTATATTGCTCAGAATATCAAGTGTTAATAGAAACATCAAGTGCCATCAAAACAAATGAAAGCAACCAGGACCACTTCATCTTTTGTTATTTTCAACTTAAATCTAGACTCATTTATTTCACATTGACTATATGAAACTGCCTTTGGGAATTTCAGTGAAATAATGCTTATAGTCCAAATTTGACATGCTTTTGAAAAAAATGACATTTCAGAATAATCTCTAGTATTACTGGAGCTTTTACTCTTTCCCATACCCTCTCCCTACCACCCTCCTACTGCAGCACTAGACCACCATACAAATGAAAAGGGGGGGTTAAAAAAGCAAAAAAAAAAAACCCTGGCCAATGTGAATTCTTTAAATCATTAAGAACAATATTTGAAATTGGACATCCCTTTGCAGAAGGACCATGGGGAGGAGACGAGCCAGTCAGGGTGCAGTGTAGCAATGATGAAACATACAATTTTCCTGTAGTTCTTGAATGCCTCCTCCCCTCCAACTATCATGATCCCAATTCTATCTTACAACTCTGGCTGGACCGGAGGATGTACACTGGTGCACATAGGAACTGGAAATACAGGGAATCCAGGACAGATGAACTCCTCAGGACCAGCGGAGAGAGTGGCAATATCAGGAGGGTGGAGGGAAGGTGAGGGAGAAAGGGGGAACAGATTACAAGGTTCTAAAGAAAAACCGCCTCCCTGGGGGACGGACAACGGAGAAGTGGGTGAAGGGAGACATCGGATGGTGCAAGATATGACAAAATAATAATTTATAAAGTATCAAGGGTTCATGGTGGAGTGGGGAACAAGAGGAAAATGAGGAACTGATACCAAGGGCTCAAGTAGAAAGCAAATGTTTTGAGAATAATGAGGGATACAAATGTACAAAAGTGCTGACACAATGGATGTATATACGGATTGTGATAATTTGTACGAGTCAATAAAATAATAGAAAAAGAACATTTGTTCTACATCCCATGACTTTATACGTTTCTTTTTAATAATTGTGTACAGATTCTCTCCAGAAATTTTTTAAATAAAAGTTTTATTGGAGAAAAATAGAACCACCACATACACAGAGAAAAAGAGCACAAAAATCCAACTGATACAGTGTAACTGAAAGTTCGATTTTCCAATATTGCTTTCCAATTTCTTAATGAGTGCCCCTCAACTTGCTTTTTAATCATTCGCCAATTTTCAGCTGAGACAGCACAAGTTTTCCAAATAGTAAGACCCTTAGGGAAAGGACCTGCTTTCAAGATAATGAAGGTATTATCAAGCTCCTCCTCCTTGCATAATCATCTATACATCTCAGAGACTATCAAGGATGAGTTCGAACACTGATAGAGATGGTCCAGTATGCTCAAAGGGAAACCATTAATAGATGCACTCAGATGATGAGTGCCGACAGGGAGGAGACTCCAACAATACAGACAATGGCTTGTCTCAAATAGAATTAGGCAGGAATTATAAATACCACATATAGCTAGACAATAGTGTACAAGTATATGCAATTGGAAACAGGCAGCATTCTAAAAATAGCTGGCCACACAGGGGCTTTGAGAAACCCCCCCAAAATAAAACAAAAAACCATCAATGATAGACATTAAAACAAAAGCATTCTCAGTTGAAGTTTGGGACCTAAGTATTTATCTTGACTCCAAATAGGCAAGAAAATATACTGTTGCAAAAAGCATTAAAACAGTTCTGATTATGGGGGAAAAAACCTAAACATTACATTTTCTGCATCTCCATTGCCTTCAAAGATTGGGGGGGGGTGACAAACAATTATGAACCACCCCCACCAAAAAAAAAAAAACACCTTAAAATACAAAAAAACACTGATGGTAGAGAGAAGCCTTTTGCACAAATTACCAACTAGAACAATACTTCTGTTGTTTTGAATGTACAAACACTCCTGGGACTTTCTCCTGAAAAGCAGGTGTCCAGTGGCTATGAGAACTCTTTAAGCAATTTTAAATGGAAGAGGATCAGGATAACACAAAATTTGAAATCCTCAACGAAAAGATGTGTGGGAAAATTTGGAGGAACTTTCATGTCTAGCGTTAATTTACCAAACAAGAGCAGAGTTGGGATTCTTCCCAAAACCCAAATGAAAAATCCTAGAAAGCCTATGTAGGAAGCCTGTAACAAAATAGAATTGGTCCGAGTTCAGACAAAACTGTCCAACAATATCTAGAGTCTAAAGTAAGCTTAGAAGTCGCTGAGGGATTTGTAATCATTTACAAAACATGTTGAATTTGGTCTCTTCTGCAATTCCCTATTATGTTCATTTTTAATACAAAATTAAAAAAATGTTGGATGTTCTTCTAGTGTAACTGATCAACAATCTTATGCATCAGCAATTTTTATGAGGATGTGTTAATTAACACAGTACATTCAGGTCTAAGCCATGTAACACATCCTATACTTATAAATGGCACAGTTTAGGATGTGTATTTACAGATCGTATGTTAAGCATCTGTCCCTCTACTTGAAAACTTGTTCCAAAATAAGGTCTTAAAAAAATCCCTTTCAACTTAACAGAACATCATCTAGTAAAATATCAATAGCTATGACAAATGGTTTTTCTTTTCAAGGGGGTTCACAAAACAGGTGAACAACCAAATCCACGGTGGTTTTTCTATTTGATAAATACATCCAGAACTCTGTACAGTAAATAAAGTTTGCATGCAATTTAAGTATCTTTAAGTGACCTTTTAAGCAAATAAATCTTTTGCTTAAATCAATGGTGTATAAGAACCACTCCCCCCTGTTTAATAGTCATAGGGACTTCTTCCTTAGTTCCAAAGAGGAATCATGAAGACCAGGTACTTTCTTAAAGAGGTTTCTGCACTTCATACTAAATAACATGCAAAGAGTTCCAACAGCATTTTTCTTAAAGATAAGTATTACTCTTTAAATGGGCATGTTAACCACTGAAAAAATCCACTCAACTATTTCCATTACATGGTTTCATTTGGTCGATAGTAGAAAAGAAGTCAAATAACATAGGATCAACATGTTAGTTTATCCACTGGCTACTGCATACGACACCAAATGCTCCAAGGCCAACATTTTAGGCAATATAGTTGTACTGGTTTGGATTTTCTTTATCTCTTTCCATGTAGTCCCTGTCAATTAAGGATTCTATTCTCTTCTTGAGATCAGCAGGCTGTAAAATAAAATATAATGCTTTCAACATCTGGGTCAGTCTTATTTGCCATCATCCCATATCTTAAAAAAAAAATAGTTCACAGAGTATTATCCAGTGTTCTTCCGCTTGCTTAATGATTAAAATAAATGCAACATACCGTATTAGATTTAATGTATTAAATCACTTTAAAAGAGAGAAGTATAATAGAAATAAATCAAGTTATGGCTTTTGTACTACAGACAAAACACATCCTTTATCGGGTCCATCCTTATCATTTTGTGATGTAACAAGTTATGTTACTTTTCTGGTTTAAAGGAGTCTTCTTAGGACTACTCTCCACAGAGTTCAAAACACAAGATGAAGTTATCAATTCACTTGGGGGAACATGGCATAGATTAGAGAAACGGAATGCTATTCATTTTGCCGAAATAGTTTTAGGAACAAAGTAGATCTTTACTTTGGACAAGTTAGTTCTCAAAGTTAAAGATGTACTACAGAAATTATCATTTAAAAAGAATGCTGCAACAAATGGTAGTATTCTTAAAATAATGAAGCAGCCCCTCATATTCAGATCTTTTAGCTTCAGCCTCTCAAGTTTTAGGCTTCAAGTAAAATGTAACTGCTATCTACTGGAAGTGATTTGGATTTCTGTACCCTACCTGTGAACTAAAGCTTATAGATTCTTCATAAGCACATTTCTAGCTCTGAAGTATCAAGGTTCACTACATGCCCACTATTATCTAGGCAATGAAAATAAAATGATCTTGATCATTTTTCAGAATATGTAAAATTGTCACTTGATACAGAGGGCTTTGAAAGGGAAAAAGTTGACCAGGACAGCATTAGTATGCTAAGTTAAAACTTCTGCCCCTTCAAATGGTTTGAAACCAAACCAAACCCACTACGCCTGAATTGATTCCAACTCGTAGTGGCCTTATACAAAGTTTCTGAGGCTTTACAATCTTTAGAACAGTCGCATCTTTCTCCTGAGCAGCATCTGGTGGGTTTGAACTACTGATTTTATGGTAAGCCAATGCCTAAGGCTTTAGTCTAAGGTAAGATTTGTTTCTGAAAATCAAATGCATTTGCTTTTATTCATAGTAAGTTCAATCAGTACCATAAAGAGGCACCTACCTTTACAGGAAACTTCAATTGGTTGTACACTTCAGACACAAGAAGATTGTGGCTAAGTGTCTTTCTCATTTTCATGATCCGAACAATTGCAGCATCTATCTGGTACTGTCTGTCCTGAAATACTCTTTCTGTAGTACTTGCTTGTTCCTCAACCTAACAACAATAACAATTTTAAAGTAAGAATTTTATCTGAAGTTTTAACATAATTACATCCATAAATTGTGTTTCAGAGACATGACACAATATTTGAAATATTTGAATTTCTCTGAACACACAAGCTAAAACCAACCTGGAATTGACTGGATGGCATTGAGGTCAGCAATCCTATAGGATAGAGGGTAGAACTGCCCCTGTGGGTTTCTGGGCCTAACAATTTACAGAAGTAGAAAGCCTCGTCCTTCTCACGTGGACCAGCAGATAGATGGTTTTGAACTATTTTGTATTCTCTTCTTGAACTCTTCCTAAATATGTTGTCAGTCAAAGAAGCTGTTGGTCAAATTTCTGCATGACAATCGCTAATCTATAGTGCGATTGACGCAAAATGTAGCTCTAACCAGCTAATAAGCTCATTAAGCAGAGTCAAACATTTTGAAAATTCTGATCTAGAAACTTGTGGTTTCATAAATAGCAACTAGAAATGCTTATTACATTTGTTCTTGATTTAAGAGACATCCAGATGTTTAGGAGTCAGCTTCCCTAACTCGATGCTAAAGTGAACACAGTCATCTTTACAATGAAACTACAATAGTTTGGGCTTTTGTAGCCAGTTTCTTTCAGGTACACAGTTATCTTTTAAGGAGGTAAATGCCTTTGACTTGTACATGAATCACATAGGAACTTGAAGATGTTAGACCCTGCCACACATTAAAACTTGCTCTCCTCAAGCAATGCATTAAACATGTTTCACAAATGCTTCAACTGTCATATCTTTCTAATCAAAGTGTATTACAGATTCAAGTGGCAAAAATTAACCTAATAGTATTTTTTTGATTAATGGTGAAAGTGACTAAGTCATTCTACATTTTTCACCCAAACAACCTGTTAATGCTTAACGCAACAATCTTTAGTGCTGGCGAGGACACTGCTGCTTTAATACACACAGTTCTATGTAGAAAGACTGAAAATGTTCACACCCCACTGACACCCAAAAATCTTTTTCTATGATTCTACCCTAAGGGGGTAGAATCAGAGAAATCACAATTAGTTACAAAGACTTAACTTGCAGTTTTATTTGCGATACCTAAAAAAAAAAAAGCCTTAACACTGGGCAGTGATTGAGTAAACTATAAAACAGCTATGTATATATAAAAGTATGTTATGCAGCAATTTGTTCACTTTTGAAAACATCGAAAAACACGACAATATTCTGAAGATTTAATGTTAAATGAAAACACAAGTAGGTTGATAATCAGCTCCCTCAAAAATACCTTATGAAATACTGCAATAAATTATGCCAAATATATGTGTAGAAAATATTAGCCAAATACATGTATAGAAAATGTTAAATAAGTTAATAAAAGTTTTACTATTTTCAAAAAAAATGTTAGTGGTAATACTATGCATATGCATTTTTATTATGAACCTATCATCCCAGTTAATGAGCTAAGAGAAAGCAAAAGACATACCGTCTCTTTCATCTGGATTTGATTGATCTTTATCCTGAAAAGTTTGTGTCTGAAGTCATCATTACAAATAAACTTGTCACCATCTTCAATGTCTTTGCCCTTGGGATTTTTCGCCAGCACTCTGGCTTTGCCACAAGCCAATGATTGCAGCGTTCTCCGTAACTCTCCATCCTCTGAAGAAGCAGCAGCAGTTTAGGTGTTGCTCGCTCATCTCTATGAACAGCTAGTATTTAACCCCAATTGAACATCCACCCCAGCCTCTTTTTAAACCACCACCTGGGGCCTGCCTAAAGTTATGAAATAATTTATCTTTGCCCTATCCACTTGCTTTTCTCTTCCCTAATTGTCCTTTCAAAGTTTCAATTATCATTTTATTTGGGTAACTGTCAAATTCTCAGAAATGACCTTTCCCACATTTAAAGACCACCTCTCCCTGGCTGCTTGACCATCAAGTCCAGGATGTCTACGTTATTCACCGTCTTTTCCAAAGAATTCTGAATTCTTCAACTACTGTTGGTGATACTACCAACCTACTCTGGATGAACCCTGGAATCTTTTGTTACTCTTCCTTCTCATTCACAACACACACACACACCCCATATCTCGTAGTTGCTTCCCTAAAGACAGATGGCTCTTCTCCATTATCAATGGCCTCCCTCTAATATAAAGCTCTACCACTCTATGCTTGAGTTACTCTAATAGTTCCTAGATTGTAATTTCTCTGAAGTCCAAACTGCCTTGCATGCTGATTCCAAATTAATTGTCCAAATAAATCACTTCCATCATGGTATATATTTAAGACTCTACAAAGTAGGTTTCATCAAATTTTCTTTTATTCTTTTTCCTGTGTGTGTGTGCGCTAGATTTTTAAGACTCTCCATGACCTCATTCTACCCATCTTCCTTTCTAACTTCATTTCTCATTCTGTGTTAAACTCTTCATGATCCAAGCCAGCACTGTACTTGATGCTAAGCCCAAGCCTGTTCCCCTTGTTCACATGCCTTTTCCCTAACGATTCATGCAAGTTTTCCCAATTGTGCCAGTTTCCAGTGAAGGCTTGCTGCACCAAACTCCTTACACTTGTAGGTATATTGGTACTTAATGATTTTGAAATGATTTCAAATGTCCCCTTTCCTCTATTCCCCATGGGATTCATTAAGAGCACTGAAGAACAGGACTGTTCCTTTGCAGTCCCCAGGGTTCTTAACACAAGCCATGCTGACAGAGTGGGCCCTTGGAAATGACTACCCATCAACTGATTCAACACAAACCTATTCCAGTAGCTTGCTTGATCTCTTCTAAACTGAATTCATCTCCTTCATTAAACATTAACAGTACCAGTGTTTGAAAAAGAGAGACCTGGAGTTCTTTTTTACCCTGTTGGGAGATAAAGCAATGGTTAGCTATCATTAAAATAATAAAAATTTCAAAACACATGAACAAGAAATCAAAAAACCTCTTATAGGAACATTTTTCAATTAGTGGATGTAGACACATGGATTAGCATTATCCAGAAATGCCACCTCAGGTGCAATACATTATGTTCAGCATGATCCTAAAATCAGAGGAAGCATTCGGTGACCTTTTTCCAAGGTCTTTTTAAAAGCCTGATAATTAAAACAGAACAAAGCCATGAAAATTAGTAACTAAACCCTATGTGTTATTACAGAGATTTTGTATGAACAGCAGGAAATCTCGATTTCAAGTGAGTTTTTAACTTCTTGATACAGATTAAGCATCAAGTACTGCAGCCATTTCTGGATATTAAGACACAAGCACGGCTCTTCTTCGCTCCCAACTCTATGCTCTCTGTCACCCAGCAAAAAAGATTCCTGTTAAGAGATGGCCATGTTAATTTAGCATTCACAGGTGGGGGAAAGGACTATTATTTTTGGTTTTGCAGCAGGGTCAGCCGACTGTGGAAAAATTTCCTTCTTGAAATAGACCGAAGCACATGCAAAGCTGTGTGGCAAGCCATCACTGCAACGGGCCACTCGTTGCGATGATTCTACAATTGCTTGCACCTTCAGGTTGTGAGGGATGATGGCAACACTAAAGAGGAAGGTGAAAACTAAAATTTGGGACTAGCAACTTACCTCTTTAAAATCTGCTTTCAGTACACAATGTCCTAGAGTTGATTGCCACTGAAGTTTACGGCCACTATGTTTACCTAGGTAGAATGTCTTGAATACTCCCTGAAGTTTTACCATCTAAAATAAATGACAAAATATTACTTAAGCTCCATAACCCCATACCATTCTTTGCATCATCTTGTGTGTACTAAGTTCAGGACATTTCTAAGACAATAATCAGTAATAATAGGTCCAGTGATTACTTGAATGTTCGTTTAATTTTACTTTTCATCATTTTATTGGGGGCTCATACAACTCTTACCACATCCATACATCTATTCACTGTGTTAAGCACATTTATTGCCATCATTTTCAAAACATTTTCTTTCTACTTGAGCCCTTGGTATCAGCTCATTTTCCCTCCCCGCCCCTCCACCCTCATGAACCTTTGATAATTTATAAACTATTATTTTGTTATGACTTACGCTGTCTGCTGTCTTCCTTCACCCACTTTTCTGTTGTCCGTCCCCCAGGGAGTGGGTTATACATAGATCCTTGTGATCGGTTCCCCCTTCCGACCCCACCTTCCCCTTCCCCTCTTGTTATTGGTCCCGAGGGGTTTATCTGTCCTGGATTCTCTGTGTTTCCAGCTCGTATCTATACCAGTGTACATCCTCTGATCTAGCTGGATTTGTAATGTAGAACTGGGATCAGGATAGTGGTGAGGAGGAAGCATTAGAGAACTAGAGGAAAGCTGTGTGTTTTATTGGTGCTACACTTCACTCTGACTGGCTTGTCTCTTCTCTGTGACCCTTCTGTAAGGGGTTGTCCAATTGTCTACAGATGGGTTTTGGGTCTCCACTCTGCACTCCCCCTCATTAACAATATGATTTTTTGTTCTGGATCTTTGGTGCCTGATACCATGGACACCTCATGACCACAAAGGCTGGTATGCTTCTTCCATGCGGACTTTTGTTGCTTCTCAGCTAGATGGCTGCTTGACTATCTTCAAGCCCTGAAGACCCCAGACGCTTTATCTTTTGACAGCCGTGCACCATAAGCTTTCTTCATGGTTCACTCCATCCTCAATATTTTCAGAATTCTAACACTGAACAATCCACTTCATAAATACTGCCCCTCCGTGCACAGTCCTGGGTCCCAAATTTTACTGCTACTCCTGTACTAGTTTTGTTCTTGCTTAATGGAGTCCTTTTTTTCTTTAGCTTTATTGGCATATACATACTTTACCTATACAACTTAATTGTTCAATTATCAATGGGAACCTTTTACAATGCTCTGCCTATTTTCTTCTTGTTCTCTCTAGATTCTCCCTCTACGAGTTCTTCTCTACAGAGGACCATCAGAAGCCAGCTCTCTAGTGTTCTTTTCCAATGGGCTAATTCTGAAGTGCCCTGTCCTGCATTGGGCATTTCCCGAGGAGCTGAGATATTTTCTAAGGTACCCATTATTCAGAGATCCTCCATCCCCAGGGTGACTCCTGGGCTAGTCTTTGAGTGTTTGGTAAAGGGCACAAACTGGGGAAATAGTCCCTGAATCCAGAGCCTGAGAACCAATCGCTACATACCAAATTAGACATGGTTCAGGGGAAGAAATAAGAAAATAGTTGTCACGTAGTGTTGATGTGTTCACTGACACAAACTTCTAAAAGGCATTCATTATTTTTAAGCAACAGACAAACAAAAATGTCAGGTATGTCTATTTCTATGACTTAAGTCTGAGTCAGTAATCCTTACCTCTGGTGGTAAATGGACTTCCATAGGTACATATGTTGGCCAATAGCCCATTGTCAGGATATTCACAGTTAGTTCAATATTCCCAGATACATTCTGGTTCTGCATATACTGTAAGAAGAGTCAACACATGCACTGAGATCTTATTATAAAGCAGGTTGTTGATATGATAACAATGACATAGCTCAGAAACTCCCCAGGGGGGGAAAAAACCATGCAAATGCTTACCAGCCTTAGAACAAAAGGTTTACTACTAAGAGGATTATAAATGATACCTACATTAAATGCACTAGAAAAATATTTAAGGTAACATGTTAAACAGCACATGGGGATCACATGTTGTCAACTTCTTACACAACACTGTTCTCTGTTAATTTTCCCCATGCCACTCAACGTCCCCACCTTTGGAGGCCCCTGTGTGGCTTGGAACAACCTGTGGCAACCCCCATTCCTCACCCCACCAAGTCTCCGGTTTCTCACTTGTTCCACTGCCTGTTTGCAGGGGACAACCTGAGGTAAGGAAAGAAAAAAAAGGAGGGGGGGCATAGCACAAAAATCCTGTTGTTGCTTCTGTTGGACCAGTGACCTGCTAAAGCGGCTTTCTCTTAAGTCTTCAAGTCTTAGTTTCCACCTCAGAAACTTGCTACCACTGTGGTCTTAAACGTTTAACACTGCTCCAAAACTGAGTCCAGTTTTTTTCCTCAATGTCCCCAAATGCCTTATACAACCACTTAATCATTTTTCTTCCCTCCTCAATGCCACCAGCTCTGATTAGATTCTAGGGAAAGCCCTGTTTCTCCTATATAGTTGCAGCTTAACTTGTATTGACTACATCACTTTTTTACTATTTTGCGCTATTTTGGGTGCTCATTAAGAATTAATCCTGAGGTAAGTCGAATGTACTGGTCATTTTTTTCCCCTACTGTGAAACCATCCAAGTTGCCATATGGAAGACGTCAACTGAACATATTTAAGTTCTAGGAGTTAAGTAAGAGTTTAACTCACTTTTACCTGTTTGAACTGAATCATGATGTCTTTAGAAAGTTCCATGTCCTTAAACATTCCTTCAAGTTTGCTGGTGAAAGCAGCTCCGCATTCTATTACAGTCGTAATAATTTAAAGTGGTTAATAAAAGGAAGAATGTGTCGTTAAAAACACAGTATATTAAATTTACATAAGCATAAAATAGAATCGATAGCTAGCCATAAGAATAAAAGGATATCCTGACCCTAAGCATATGGCCCATTAATTCTAAGTCAATTCCTTTAATCCTGAGGAAACTTCATTCACTATCACTATTTAGGCACAAGATAAATGGGAAACATACAAATTTTTAAAAAAAGAACAATACAAAACACACAACAGCTCGGAAGAGGTACAATAGTTTAGAAACATCATGTGTTTAAGTTTTCATCATATGCTGAATGATGAAAAAGGAAATCAACTGAGAGTAAAAATTATATTTAAATGTTTGTCCTCAGAAATCTAAAAAAGGGACAAAAGAACAGGAAGCATACCGTGTTTCAGCTTGGACAGCATCGACTTTTCAGCATCGACAGATGCACTTTTCCCAACTAGCAGTCGTTTGGCTAAATCTTTCTTGTAAAAGGCCTCAAACACATCTTTCCCTATATTCAATTAAAAAAACACAACTCACAATCTTCCAGTGAAACGTTCTGATATACTTACTACAAAGTGCTTAAAAAACACACCATTATTCCAAGTTAGTCTGCTTTACTCACTTTATCAAAGTTTTGTTAAATTGGAGAAACACTAAAAACACTGGGCCTGACATGCCAATGGTTCTTTACTGTAACCAATTGAGACTGTGTTCCTTTTGCTTTAGAAGAGGTTTCATGCGGATATAATAGAGATTAAACCAAGTCACCAAAGTCAAGCCTCTTTATAATAGAAATGTCGAAGCACAGGCAATTAAATAGTAATCTGTCAGAGTAGCTCCAAAATACAACTGGAAAATCTCCAACTCCTAAGTAAATACTACTTTCAGATTGAATATATTGACTAGCTTTTCCATTAGCTTTGTCTTAGAAGAAAAAATATTAAAAAGCAATAAATACTTACCGTAGATAAATCTAAATATGATCATAATTTTATCCAACATTTTTTCAAGTTCTTCATCTGTAGCTTCTTTATTGCCAGCACGAAGTTTTGAATCTACATACTTAGCTAAAATGAGGGAGAAATTTGTTGTTTAATGACCACAGTAATCCACATAGGGTTACTCTACATACCCAAATAGGAGTAAAATACACTCAAGTTTTCAATGCTTAAGAGGTATATATGTATTTTGTTTAAATCCCCAAACTCAAGAGATCAGGTAACTTGTTCAGTGCCACACAGCTAATAAATACCGGCACCTAAACTTAAGACCAAATCTTCTGACTCATAATTGAATATGAGTATCCTTGGGAGTGGGACGGGGCAGAGGATACTGCCTCTGGTTAAAATATTCAAAGCCATTGGAAAACTGGGTGCATCTTCCTACAGTGTCCATTTTACACAGATGCCAACCTTAACTTTTCTATCAAAATAAAACCAAATGTACTGTAGAGTAGAAGGATGTAATAGGAAAGATTAATAGGAATACTAGGTTTTAAAGAAATTTCATCTTTGTGGGTAAAAAGGATCTTCTCAGAGAACCTCCTGACATCAACGAATAGGGTGGAAAAATCCTGAGAAATGCCCTTATGCTAAATGGGCACAGACTAGTACACATTGATTCCCCACCTGGATTTCTTGCTGTCCTCTTATAACCCTAAGTATTTATTCCTAGAAATAACACCTGATCCCTCCTCTAAATTGTTCTAGGTTTAGATATAATTTATACTTATTATAAATAAAGTGAAATAGGGTCTAATGTACCAAAGACATCATGCTTGACATACAAGCTTTGAGATGTTTTTTAGCTTAAAGAACTACTCCTTACATCCAGGTTCTTAGAAAACTTCAGACTAGATATAACCAGCTAAATACTCCCAAATGAACAGGGTGTGAATAGACTACAATTATGTCAAAATTTCAGATTAATGGGAGATTTCCACGAATAAAAGAAAAACCTTAAAGAAATAGAAAAAAATGGACTAGAAAAATACCTATAAGCTCGGCAGGCTTGTTTGGTCTTTTGTTAATGAATGTTTCAAATGCTTCTTTCATGGCATTGATAAATTTTTCATTTTTCAAAAAGCAGATATCAATTATATGGTCAACCTTATCTTTAAAATCCAGCAATTCTTGTACCATAGTTTTGTCTTTTTCAGGATTAATTACAATAGTGCTGCCAAATGCCTAAAAAAGAAAAATAAGTTACCACCATTTATTAGACTTCATGTACCAAGAGAACAATTCCAAAATCCTATTCCCACCCCAATCCTATTTTAAGCTTGCATATATGTTTAAGTTTTTTTGTAAAATAAAGCTGTTTTTTAATTGAGAGTAAGAAAAATAAATAATAGTAATAAAATAAACTCATAAAATATACAGACTTCTATGATCACATTCTTCAATCATTACAAAACTCCTAAGGAAGATAATATTAATGGTTTTGGATTCTAGACTCTTTTCATTGTTTTTAAAAGAAATCAGATCTGGAGGAGAAAACAACGGGACTGACAGTTCCAGGTGGACATGGGAGAGGGGGAGGTGGGGGGAAGGGAAGAGGTGTTAACAAACCCAGGGACAAGGGAACAAGCGATCCAAATTGATGGGGAGGTGGGTGTAGGAGACCTGGTAGGGCATGATCAAGGGGAATGTAACAAAGAGGAAGTGCTGAAATCCTGGAGGGACAGAGGGAAAATCAAGGGAAATAGAGGAAAGTTCTGGGAAGCAAAGGACATTTATAGAGGTTTAAAGACGTACATATGCAAATATATTTATATGAGGATGGGGAAATAGATCTATGTGCCTATATTTATAGCTTTAGTATTAAGGTAGCAGAAGGACATTGAGCCTCCACTCAAGTACTCCCTCAACGCAAGAATACTTTCTATTAAATTGGCATTCTATGATGCTCACCTTCCCGACACAACCGCTGAAGACAAAGCGGGTGAATAAGCAAATGTGGTGAAGAAAGCTGATGGT